GTTCTGTGCATGGAAAGGCTTTGTCATTTGATTGAGGAGGCAGTTGAGGTAAAGAGATGGAAGCCGATAAGGCTGTCAAGAGGTGGTCCACAGCTTTCCCATATTTGTTTTGCAGACGACCTTATACTATTCGCTGAAGCCTCGGTGACACAGATTCGAGTCATAAGAAAGGTGTTAGAGAAGTTCTGTCAAGCGTCGGGGCAGAAAGTAAGTCTTCCGAAGTCAAAGATCTTCTTCTCAAAGAATGTTTCTCGTGAGAGAGGGGATCGTATAAGCCGTGTAAGTGGTATTGCATCAACAAGGGAGCTGGGGAAGTATTTGGGGATGCCTATCCTTCAGAAGAGAATAAATAAGGACACTTTTGGGGAGACTCTAGAGAAAGTTGCTTCACGGCTGGCAGGTTGGAAGAAGCAAACACTAAGTCTAGCAGGGAGGATTACTATGACGAGAGCAGTACTCGGTTCAATACCAGTCCATTCGATGAGTACTATTACTTTGCCGGTGAGTATTCTTGAGAAACTTGATAGCTTGTCCCGTAACTTCGTATGGGGTGGTGGTCAACACTTGATTGCTTGGGACAAGATTTGTAAACCGAAGAGAGAGGGAGGCCTTGGGATAAGAGTGTCAAGAGATATGAATAAAGCTCTCATATCAAAGGTGGGATGGCGTTTGTTGCAAGATAATGAGAGCTTATGGGCGAAAGTCTTGCGTAGCAAGTATACAGTGGGTAATTTTCATAATCTCGATTGGACGGTAGCGAGTAAAACCAGCTCATCGACCTGGAGAAGTATTGTGGTGGGGATAAGGGATGTACTTGTGCAAGGACATAGTTGGGTCATTGGTAATGGAAGAGACATCAAATTTTGGAAGGATAGATGGATCTCAAACACCTCGCTTAACACGGTGACCATCGCCGAGCTGCCTGAGGAACTCGAGGAGTTAACAGCGAGAGAGATGTGGTTAGAAGGCAGAGGTTGGGATCTCACGCGCATCACCCCGTTTGTAACAGAAGACACGCGACTGGAACTTGCAGCAGTGGTGATCGACGAGATAACAGGGAGCAAAGATCGCTTGGCCTGGGGTTATACAAAGAATGGCAAGTTTACTGTAAAGTCGGCGTATGAGATGATCACGATGGATGACACCCCGCGACCAAACATGGGGAATTTGTTTAAAAAAGTGTGGCAGGTAGAGGCGCCTGAGAGGGTGAGATGCTTCCTCTGGTTAGTCGGGACAAAGGTTATCATGACCAACGCGGAGAGGCATCGACGTCACCTATGCGGGACTGATGTGTGCCAAGTATGTAAAGGAGGGATTGAGACAATTTTACATGTTCTTAGGGACTGCCCGGCGATGGAAGGCATATGGAATAGACTTGTTCCTATTGGGAAGAGACAGATGTTTTTCTCAATGAATCTATTGGAGTGGCTATACATGAATCTTCAGAATAATGAGAGGATGGATGGAACAAGATGGTCCACGATGTTTGCAATGGCAGTATGGTGGGGTTGGAAGTGGAGATGTGGTAATGTTTTTGGAGAAAACAAACTTTGGAGAGATAGAGTTGGCTTTCTTCGAAGGATGGCCAAGGAGATCACAAAGGCGAATGAGACAGCGCAGACAAATACTAGGACTGGCCAAAGATTGGAAATAATGGTCCGTTGGATACCACCTAGAGCGGGGTGGATGAAGGTTAACACGGATGGGGCCTCACACGGGAATCCGGGACTGGCAACCGCCGGGGGAGTTCTACGGAATGGTGATGGCGAGTGGTGCGGAGGTTTTGCCCTGAACATCGGTAGATGTAGTGCCACGTTAGCAGAGTTATGGGGAGTCTATTATGGACTGGTGGTCGCATGGGAGCGAAGACCTCGGAGGTTGGTAGTCGAAGTTGATTCGAAAGTGGTGTTTGAGTTTTTTACGACTGGGATTGGCAATACTCATCCTTTGTCGTTCCTAGTACGGCTGTGCTATGGCTTTTTGTCGAGGGACTGGATAGTCCGTTTTGTTCATGTTTACAGGGAGGCTAACCGCTTAGCTGACGGGGTGGCTAACCTGGCTTTCTCTTTTCCGTTTGGTTTTCATAAACTTGATGTTGTTCCTCCTGAGGTTGATGTTTTGTTGACAGAGGATGTCGTTGGACCCCCACGGCCACGGCACACTCGTTTTGTAGACTGAAAGTTGTTTTTTTTAATATAAGTTGGGAGTCTTTCTCCCAGTCTCTTACCAAAAAAAAAACTGTGAGATCCGATTTGAGACACATTCGTTAGAGAGAAAGACAAGAACATACATGGCGAAACAGGAAGATGTTACGGTCCCGATCTTCTCCTCCCTTGATCCTGTCTACGGTGAAGGATCTCAGCTCCAAGAAGCTAAGACACGATTCGATGTTCTGAAAGCCAAATTCAACCAAGTCTTCGGTGCTTCTCCACAACTCTTCGCTCGTTCTCCCGGTACACAACATGTGTTTGATTCTTTTTTAATTTGTTGTTCTGTTAAATGTCTTAAGACATCGTTTACCTTTTGGATCTGAAAGAAATGTTTTTATTTTTTGTGTGTGTGTATGTTTTAGGAAGAGTGAATCTGATTGGAGAGCATATTGACTATGAGGGATACTCTGTGTTACCAATGGCTATTCGTCAGGACACTATTATTGCTATCCGGAAACGAGAGGGTCATAATGAGTTAAGGATTGCAAACGTTAATGAAAAGTATTCCATGTGTACTTATTCTGCTGATCCTCAACAGGTTTTTATAATCTCTCAAATCTCATTATCACACAAAAGAGTATAGTTTTGGGAATGATTGAGTAAGTTGTACTAGTGGCTTATCATTTATGTCTTAACTTTTTGTAGGAGATTGATTTGAAGAATCACAAGTGGGGTCATTACTTTATCTGCGCGTAAGGGGTCCTCTCTGGAGCTTTATTATCCATCAGAAACTAAGAGATCTCACCTTGTGATTTTTGATTGTTATAGGTACAAAGGGTTCCATGACTTTGCAAAGTCAAAAGGAGTGAATGTTGCTTCACCAGTTGGACTTGATGTGGTTGTTGATGGCATTGTTCCTACAGGTATTTATCTACTTCCCATATATATATGCATCATGTTATCATTTTACCCTGAAGTTTTAATTAAAGTTCTTTGTGTTTAATTAGGTTCTGGGTTGTCAAGTTCTGCTGCCTTTGTTTGTTCATCAACGATTGCTATCATGGCTGTCTTTGGTGAGAACTTTGAAAAGGTATTATGCACTCCTGCTTTCATGAAAGATTTTTTTTTTGTAGCTCTCTATCTCTTGTTGATTATTGTATTGGCTGAGTTATTGCTTTCAGAAAGAGCTTGCTCAGCTTACATGTGAATGTGAACACCACATTGGAACACAATCTGGTGGGATGGACCAGGTCAGAAACATTCTACAATAATCTATCATCTCACCTAGAATTATCTCTATTTTTTTCATTGATTGATCAGTTTTTATTTACTGCAACAGGCAATCTCTATCATGGCTAAAACTGGTTTTGCGGAGCTTATTGACTTCAACCCGGTTCGCGCAACTGATGTGAAACTCCCTGATGGTGGGAGTTTTGTTATTGCACATTCTCTTGCAGAGTCTCAGAAGGCGGTCACAGCTGCTACTAACTACAATAACAGGGTCGTTGAATGTCGGCTTGCTTCTGTAAGTCATAGCTTAACTGGGCATTGTTTGCTAGACTATACTTGATTCTCCTCTACCATGTGGCATTGTGTAGATCATACTTGGCATTAAGCTCGGAATGGAACCGAAAGAAGCAATATCAAAAGTTAAGACTCTTTCTGATGTGGAAGGATTATGTGTGTCATTTGCTGGTGATCGTGGCTCCTCTGATCCTGTTCTAGCTGTTAAGGTACAACTCATCCAAACACACTCTTGCTAAAACAGACTGTTATGTTTGTTAAATCTTTGTTTATGTCTTTGATGCAGGAATATCTGAAAGAAGAACCATATACGGCCGAGGAGATTGAGAAAATCGTTGAGGAGAAATTACCATCAATCTTGAACAATGATCCAACGTCTTTAGCTGTACTTAATGCTGCTAAGCATTTCAAACTGCACCAGGTATATGAATGTACAAACCTCTGGAACATTGTGTTGTTTTTTGTCCCTTAAGTCTTAAGACTCTGCTTGCAATCATTGAATAGAGAGCTGCACATGTTTACTCCGAAGCACGGAGAGTTCATGGTTTCAAGGACACTGTCTATTCAAACTTAAGGTCAGATCTCTTTTCGCCATCAAACTTCTGAATAAATTATTTTGGAAACGTTGAAGACCTTGATACATCAACCGTGCAGTGATGAAGAGAAGTTAAAGAAACTTGGTGATCTCATGAACGAGAGTCACTACAGTTGCAGTGTCCTATACGAATGCAGGTGCATAAATTTTAAGAAAAACTGTTAATTGTGAAAGCAATGAAAGTGAAATTGATTTTATGAATTTATTGAAATCTTGCAGTTGCCCGGAGTTAGAAGAGCTAGTTAAAGTGAGCAGGGAGAATGGAGCACTTGGAGCAAGACTGACCGGAGCTGGATGGGGTGGTTGCACTGTGGCCTTGGTTAAAGAATCTGGCGTCTCTCAGTTCATCGCTGCGGTTAAGGTAATGAAGTTAAGTAGGACATTAATGTTGCAATTTTGAGAAGGCACTAATGCAATTGTTGGGGGTTTCAGGATAAATACTACAAGAAGAGGATAGAGAAAGGAGTGGTGAAGGAACAAGACATGGAGCTTTACCTTTTTGCCTCCAAGCCTTCAAGTGGTGCTGCCATCTTCAACTTCTAGACATACCTCTCCCACTCTTTTTAATTTATTCAGTCTTTCTCAATATGAATTGTTTGCAGTTGTCATTTTCTATTGAATTATATGGTATCAATGTTGCTGGATAATTGGTTGGCCTTGAAATCAGTAAGATATAAAGTAGGAGTGGACATAATACAAAGAAGTCTGCTTCATTCACAACTTGTCTTTCTAAAGAACCTTCTTTTGCAAACAGTTTGCATTAGTCAAGAGACAACTTACAACAAATCAGAGAGTTACTAGTCAATCTAGTTTCTTTCCTTCAATCATTGACACACAATTTAAGACCTAAAACTAAAAAACCAAAGTGTTTACAAGAAGCAGAACTATCATCACGGACACGACCTAACACTTAACATCAGTACTCCCAGCCTCTCTGTTATTCATCTTCTCACACCCAACCACATAACCAGGCAAATGCCTTGAGTAACCACGTGTGTTATTGCACTGCTTATCTTCCCGGATTCTCCAACACGTCCTAGTCACCTTCTTGCTTCTGTTGCTTCTATCACACTCAACATTCTTAGGCAGGTGAGAGGCTTGCACAACTGATAACTTGATTATACCAACTGCTCCCTGAAAACTTCCTCTGTTGACATTCTTCAGAAAGTCTTTCTCCACGGATTCAATGTCTGAAACATTTATGTTTCTGAGATGTAACCCCCAGTAGAATACAATGTTCGGCTGCTTTTCACAGGCTTCCAAATACTCTTTTGGGTTTGGATCACAAAGGCCAAAGACTTCCTCTATCTGCATTAAACATGAGATAAGTCATTAACATATAGTGTTAAGGCAAAAGCCATAGTGTACGGAGTCTTCTGTAGAGTTTCATACTTTGATAAGAAGAGAGCGGAAACGTGACTTAACCCAACCAACCCAATCACTGAAACCTTCCTGATTAGAAGCAGAGAGGTGTATCTTAACGAACCAAGCGTACGTGGTTGCATAAGGATAAGGCTCAAACAAACTCTTCCAGTTAAAGCTAGGTTTCAAGTAACCCTGCATGTTAACAAATGGTTCAGAAGATGGAATCATGGAACATTGATAAAATAACACACACACACACACACTATCTCTCTCTTTCTCTATCACCTTCATCAAATGATGACCCCGGATAAACTCTGACATGATCTTGCAATACGTGCTCCTCGTTACGTTGGAGTTACAGTACTGACTTCCACCACACGGCAATTGGATAGGCATAAATCCTGGAGGAGAGCCAGTAGCTGCATAAGCATCCCTTAACAGCACCACAGGTGTAGGCCATTGCCAATAAGCAAACGTGTTGAAGAAGCTATCCACAAGGGAACTCAACGTAGCGTTGGGGTTATATCCACAAACAAACGCAGCAAGAATAGCCATATGAACTCCCCCAAAGAACCCATTCAACTGAAACAAAAGTTGAAACTGTGTTAAATGTTAGCCCTAATCATTTAGCAATGATAATGCACTTACGTTACCGTATACACCACGCCTCTTTGCCCATAGTTTCACACACCGCAGCAATGACTGAAACAACTAAAAACAGGAAACAAGAAGACATTCAATAAACAGAAGTTGATACTGTTGTGTCTCTATGCATTACCTCAACGGAAGGTACTATCTGAAGTATGCATTGATTTGCGCGAACTCCAGATAAGCTTCTCCAACTTGTCTCATCAATACCTCTCAAGAAGAAAGGATTCAGCACATCTACATTCTGAAAAACACTCGCAGTTAAAAAACCATTCAGAGTCTGAACAATATAACTTAAGAGAGTTGTTGAGAAACGAACGTTTGGGATTGATAAGAGTCGAAGCTGAGCGTATGGAAGATCAACCAAAATGCCATCAAACTTGAAGCGGATGAGAGGAACTTTAGCATCTTTAACACAATGAACCTCTGAAACTTCGGTTCTACTTTTCAACAGATCACGCAAGTCTATGAAAAAATCCTCCTGTAACAATTGAGAGAAGACTCATTAAACTAATTAAAGACCATACAGAGAAATAAGGTGAGAGCTTACAGATATAGTTGCAAAGAAAGGACCAATGCACAAAGCGTCAATGTCTGAATCAGAACCATGAACCTAGATAATGAAGTTAGTTAAGACATTCACTACATTTATTGTAACAATTTGAGAAAAAAAAAGTAATCACCCCGAGACCATAAGAGCCATAAGGTATAATGGTGGCGTTGGTAGCATCAATATGATGTTGAGGAAGACGTCGTTTCCAAGCAATGATCCTAACCCATCTCACAACTATCTGTTCCATTAAAAAAAACTCAGAGAGACATCACTTTCTATCCAAGAATCAGAGATTTATAAAACGTTACCCTTTGTAGTATAAGAATAATGATTCTTCGTTTCTCGTCATCTTCAGGAGATGGAATAAGTCCTTCATTGACCATAAGCTATACAATATAATCTGTTATTCTTGAAGATAAATTACTTAAAATCATTAAAACACAATGTATGTACCTGACGAAGAGAAACAGAGCATGCTTCTTGCGTTTCAGGAGGAGGCAAACCTGTGGACATGATAAAAACAGAGACCGTGAACAGAGGATCCTATAAAAGATTTTTTACGGGGAAAAATGACTGACCTTTATATCTCTCGTCTCTCCTTCTCATTTCTTGGATTGTTCTTGCTACGTTTTCCCGAGAAAAAAAGATCGGTGATGCCGCCGTTTCTTGGCGTCGTCTCTCCGCCGTTTCCTTTTGTTTTTTTTTGAACTTGAAACGACTTTTAAATATTTGCCTAAATCCAGCGCATTATAGATTCGTCCCCCGCCAAGTTATTGACACGTGGCATTTATGTTCATTTATTAATTTTTTTCTTCTTATTACATCTAGTTTGAAAGATTCATACATCCATTGCAGAAGTACTGTATATTAAAGTGTCCGAAAACCTGAGTTCGTGTGACGAAGATGGCTACCAAAACCATCATGTTACCCTTCATAGATTTCAAATGAGAAATTGATTTTACCAAAAATAAAAAAAAAAAGAAAAGAGAAAATTTGAAGCGAAGCTGAGAGATACTTGATGTCCACGACTTCAAAGCCGATGCTTTGGTGAAGTCTGTTTCTTTGGGCTTTGGTTTGGGCTGAACTATGTATAGGCCTTATTAATGAAATCGTGGACATCAAGGCATCGGCTTTGGGCTGAACTATGTATAGGCCTTATTAATGAAATTTTAATTGTTAAAAAAAAAAATTTAAAATGAGAAATAATACCATTAAAACAATGATCAGAATAATTTATTTTTTCCTAAATGATCATTAATCTTATGAATAAATTTAACTTTTCATTAATGACTTTTTAGTCTTTTTTTTATTTGGGTCTAAAAACTATATATACTAATGTGTTTTATTAATAGGCTGATTCTTTTTCAAATTTTATAAAAAAATTTCTTGCAATAATATTTTGCTTTTGCGGGTCAGACGAGTCAAATTTTTCAGTCGAAAAAATGTCTCAACCTGTTATGGAGTGGGTTGGACAGTACGGATCGGACTAAGCGATTGAAATTTTGTAACTAAATGATTTTACGAATTAATCACAAAACTAAAAAAAAAATTAGACCATTTAATTGTTAAATATATAATTTTGCTCAACTACACCTTTCGGGTACAACCATTGTTAACTTATTCAGAAACATAAAAAATTGTCTGAGACATTATAAAATAAAATTTTCTTCATATCCGCATAATAACTTGATCTTGATTCTGTGATATTTTATTCCATTAAAAAAAAGATTTATCAATCTATTTATAGATAAAACAATAAAAATAGTATCTACGCTTTTTAAGTGCGGGTCAAAATCTAATATCTCTTTTAATTACCACTAAATTTTGGTTCAGGTTATTTTTTTGTGAATTGGTTGCATGTGATTTTAAAAATATGATAAAATAATATGTTTAGATAAAAGGATATAACTATATTGCATAACTTTTCTTAAATCTTTATGAAACACATCTTGAATTGCAAAAGCCAACACAAAATAGTAATATCTCCGGAAGTAATAGCCAAAAGAGTAGAGACTTATTGAGTTTAAAAAACTATAATGTATAACTGATTTTTTCTATAAAAACACACCAGTAGACTACAAACCCCTTATATAAACTATTCAAGAAACTATATAAAATGATTAGTTTAACATTCCATTTTTGTGATGCCATTTTAACAAACTTCTTCTCAATAAAATAATCTGCCGACTAATCAAATCTAAAGAAACGCGTCACACGCATTATTGAATATACACACTCATTATTACATTAGACTTACTATGGTTTAGATGAAAGACCAGATAAAACGTAAACTTTACTCGTAGATACGGTAATTTTGTTACTACATACATACACACACAGAGTCTTCTTCACCATTGAAGCTGAGCATCATGTGATCCAAAAATCCTGTCACTGTAATCTTAAGAGTACCATAAGATAAGGTTTGAAACCTTGCATGTCACACAAACTAATCTTCATAATCGCTACTCAAACTCTACTCCACAGACATCTCTTTCTTATACATATATTGCAAAATGTTATTGGAAATCAAAAATGTTAATCAAAACAAAATACAGTACTATTCACAACTGTCTCTTCCTTGGCTCCTTCCATTCACAACACCAATCATCATAAGTTTCATAACACGTTTTTCCTTTAATATTTTAGAATCTCACATTAACCAACAAATCTAAATTTGTATCTATGCAAAATGATTGCCCCCTGATTTTGATAGACGAGCATAATAAACCCAAAAACGTTGGTTTCATCAATTTTTTTATTTCGTTTCGTTAAATTTTCTTCAATAAAATTTTGTCGGTTAGTAATTCTATTCCAGTTAAAGATTCTTTTAAAAAATTCATAGGATAGATCTATTCTTTTTTTATTTTGTCACAAATATAGCTTTGAAAATAAAAATGATGAAAATATACTTAAATTTTTAATTAAAAATAAGTAAATATATTATTATATTCTTCAATGTTTTATTAAAAATAAGTAAATATACAATTATATCTTTGGGTTAACTAATTATAAACCTTTTTGTTTAGAGCTGAGGAATGAAGTTTTATGATAAAATTTCAAATTTTAAAAATAAAAAGTTATTTTAGTGTTTGAAATCTATTTTACGATAAAAACTTAAAAAGAATTATTCGAAAGAATTGATTTTGTTTTTTTTTTTGATTAATTTATATAGAGAGAGCTACTATATAAGTCTGCTCAACTAACTCTCGCAAATACACACTTAACTGTTTCGTTCCTTCCCGTGAAGCTTCTCGATCTGCCACCAGATCTGGCTCTGGAGCGAATCGCACACATTTCAAATTTCGAATCTGACGAGTTTCAATCCTATCGCGTGCGTGCTTGGTCCTTTCTCTATCTGATCATCGGAGATGGCGATTCCAAGCCCTGTTACACCGGGACTAGTACGTCTTTTACTATTTTTTTTTAACCTTTAATTTAGTTTTTATTCGTTTTGATTTAGATTTTGTGAGAAACTGCAGATGTCGGTGGTGCTCGGGATTGTGCCGGTGATCGTTGCTTGGCTTTACTCTGAGTATCTTCACTACTCAAAACATTCAGTCTCCACCAAAGCGTACGTTAGTTTGTTACAAATCGTTATGTTATCAGTGATTTCGTATTGATTTTGTTATTGTTTATGTTAGTAGGCACTCTGATGTCAACTTGGTGGCGATTGATAAAGATTTTGTGAAAGAAGATGATAAAGCGCTGTTAATAGAAGAAGGAGGTGGTCTTCAATCAGCTTCTTCTAAAGCTAAGGGCACCTCTGTACATTCTCCTCTCATCAGGTTTCCATAAGCTCTCCCCTAGCAGTGAGCTCTGCTGTTGGTTTATTATGCTTATGCTCGGTTTGGATGCAGGTTTGTGCTCTTGGATGAGTCTTTCTTGGTTGAAAACAGGGTGACGTTGAGAGCAATGTAAGTAATTTGGAGTGAATAGTGAAGTTATGTATGTTCCGACTTTGTCTTAAATTATATCATTTTCTATGCAGAATCGAGTTTGGAGTACTTATGGGATACTTTTACGTATGTGACCGTACTGATGTCTTCAGTTCATCCAAGAAGGTGATGATGATGAATTTTATCTTAAAATCTGCTTTGTAGATTCTGGAAAGGTTTTTCTAGTTACAGAGGATCTACGTACACTTATTTTCTTTAATCATTCAATTTGGTCTAGTGTTATGTGGAATGATTTAGTTTTCATTAAGTTGTGAGCTTTATGAATAATCCTGTTTATGCTTCTACGTGTCTGACTGTGTTACACTGTTTATTTTTGGATACAGAGTTACAACCGGGACCTGTTTCTGTTCCTTTACTTCCTTCTTATTATCGTTTCAGCGATAACTTCGTTCACGATACATAATGATAAATCAGCATTCAACGGAAAATCCATCATGTACTTGAATAGGCATCAAACCGAGGAGTGGAAAGGCTGGATGCAGGTTTGTGACTATCTCTGTTGATGTTTAATACTCATTGTGTAATTTTACTTTTTCATTTGCTGTTACCTCATCATCATAGTTGTCTTTTCCTGGTGTTGTAGGTCCTCTTTTTGATGTACCACTATTTTGCTGCTGCAGAGTATTATAATGCAATCCGTGTGTTCATTGCTTGCTATGTATGGATGACTGGATTTGGGAATTTTTCTTATTATTACATTCGCAAGGACTTTAGCCTTGCAAGGTTTGCACAGGTAACCGCCACTATGGCCTCTCTGTTTCTTTTCTTATTTCTAGCTTCTAAATTTTTACATACTATTGTTCTACAGATGATGTGGCGGCTAAATTTCCTGGTCATATTCTCCTGCATCGTTCTCAACAACAGTTACATGCTATACTACATATGCCCAATGCACACGCTGTTTACTCTGATGGTCTACGGAGCACTTGGTATTATGAACAAATATAATGAGATGGGTTCAGTCATAGCTGCTAAAATGGTTGCCTGCTTTGTTATTGTTATCATCGTTTGGGAGATTCCCGGCGTTTTTGAATGGATTTGGAGTCCATTTACGTTCCTATTGGGTTAGTGAAAGGCTCAAATCTTTGATTATCATGAAAACTAAATGTGTTTATGAGACAACTGTTTGAAGATGCAAAAACTTTGTAAACAATTGCAGGTTACAATGACCCTGCAAAACCGCAGCTTCCCCTCTTGCATGAGTGGCATTTTCGCTCGGGCCTTGATCGGTACATATGGATAATCGGGATGCTTTATGCATACTACCACCCAACTGTAAGTTCCCAGTACTCACTCATGAACTTCACATCGCTTCAACTCTGTTGACCAATGCGTAGCTTACCGTATGTTCTTTTATAGGTTGAAAGTTGGATGGATAAACTGGAGGAAGCTGATATTAAAATCAGGATGGCTATCAAAACAACTGTGGCACTTGTAGCACTAACGGTATAACAAGTCACCACTTCACACTTTCGTCCAGATTAAAGAAACCTTGCAAGTTACTCTTCCAGCTAATCTATATCTTTGTTACTATGAAACTTTTTAGGTGGGATATTTTTGGTACGAGTACATATACAAGCTGGACAAGTTAACTTACAACAAATATCATCCTTACACCTCTTGGATCCCAATAACGTATTACACTTTTACTCTCGAAAGCTCTATACAATGGATCTTCCAAAACCAGTCTTAACTTGCGTAGCACTTGTGTTGATTTTCTTTCAGTGTTTATATCTGTCTCCGGAACATCACCCAGTCTTTCCGTGGCTACAGTTTGACCCTTCTGGCGTAAGAAAAATGTTTTAATCAATAGATATATCCATCCTATTATTTCCTGGGGGAAAAAGCAAATTTTTGTTTGTGATTTTTCAGGTGGCTTGGGAAGATAACACTGGAGACATATATCTCCCAGTTTCATATATGGCTCAGGTATGTCACGCTTCTTCTAGTTGTCAATGTTCTCAATTGTAGCTTAAGTTGGAAGTTAATGGTTGAGAACGCCAATACAATACACTCTTAATACTAGTGTTGTGCCATTGAGCTAAGAAATTTATAAATCCACAGATCTGGAGTTCCTGATGGTCAGCCCAAATTGCTACTCTCTCTAATCCCGGAATATCCATTGTTGAACTTCATGCTCACAACCTCCATTTACGTAGCTGTAAGCAAACTCTGCTACAACAGAATCACAAACAAAATTGAAAGCCAAAGAGAATGAAAGTGATTGACGTTTTGTTGCCATGTTTCAGATCTCGTACAGGCTCTTTGAGCTTACAAACACATTGAAAACAGCTTTCATACCAACCAAAGACGACAAGCGACTTGTCTACAACACGATCTCAGCAATCATTATATGCACTTGCCTCTACTTTTTCTCGTTTGTTCTTGTCCAAATCCCCCAAAAACTGGTTAGTCAACAAAGTTTATATCTGTTCGTGATGCTTGAGCTCATTAAATAAAAGTAGAAAACGCGAATGTAATCTCACGTTTGTTATTCTTTCATGGGAAACAACAGGTGTGAAGTGAAGCGCGTTTGAACTGCGAATCAAAGTGGATATTAGTTGAATGGAAGTCATATCAATTTGAAGAGGAGTTGATGAACTACACAACATGGTAGATATAAGAAGAAAAGAGAGGTAGAGATGCATTCAATCAATGTTGGTATAATGTAATGTGTGTTGTGTATATTTATTTATTTATGAACAAGGTCAAGGTCTTCTTTCTTGTTTACCCATGTTTTTTTCCTCGTTCACGATGGTGTAACCTTGTATTACCATTTTCCAATTCAGTTATAAATAGTCGCATCATGTAGCTTTGTGATTACAAGGTTTATTCAGACTTTGGACAAGTTAAGTTAATTAGTAAATCCATCAACAAAACGTCAAATATCGGGTTTTTGAATAAGTATACTTGTAAGGAATATATGTTTTGAAATTTTCAAAAATTCAAAAGGATTTTCCTACAATCTTGAAAAAAAGGAATTTTTCCACAATCTCGAAAAATTTGGTGAATTCTAACGTTATCCTCAAAAGATAATAAACTTTTTTCAAAGCGATCATTAAACAGTTTCAACACTATAATTAGATAATTTGGTCTTTAAATAAATATACTAACAAAGAATTCATGTTTTGAAATTTTTAAAAATTCATAGCGGTTAACGTCCACAATTTCGAATAATTTGGTGGATTTTAAAGTTATTTTGAGGAGAGAACGAAACATTTTCAAAATGATAAATGACATTTTCAACACTATAATTTGATTAATGGGTCTTTAAATAAGTATACTAGCAAGAAATACATTTTTTTGAAAATTTCAAAAATTTATAGGGTGACGACCACCTAGAAAATTTGGTGAATATTGATGTTATCCTTAGAAGACATTTTCAAAACGATTGTTAAATAGTTTTAATACTATAATTTTGTTATTAGGTCTTCAAATAAGTATACTAACAAGTAATACATGTTTTGAAATTTTCAAATATTCAGAAGGGTTAGTCCACGACCTTAAATATTTATTTGGATTTTGACATAATCCATTGGAGACGACAAAACATTTACAAAGCTATTTTTAAGCCGTTTCAGCACTATAATTTTGTTAATTAGTCTTTAAATAAGTATACTAGATGGAACACATGTTTATAAATTTTCAAAAATTTATAAGGGATAGCCTACAATCTCGAAAACTTTGGTGGATTTTTAAGGTTATCCTCAGAAGACGAAGAAACATTTTTTAAATAGTTGTTAAGCAGTTTTAACACTATAATTTGGTTAGTGTATCTTTAAATAAGTACACTATTTAGAAATACATGTTTTTAAATTTTATTCAGAGGGTGTTAACCCACGAACTCGAAAAAAATTGGTGGATTTTGACGTTATCCACTGGAGACGATGAAACATTTTTAAAATGATTATTAAAGAGTTTCAACACTATAATTTGGTTAATGTATCTTTAATAAGTATACTATTAAGTAATACATGTTTAGAAATTTTCAAAAATTCAATGGGTGCTAGCCCACGAACTCGAAATAATTGGTGGATTTTAACGTTATCCTCTGGAGACGACGGAACATTTTCAAAACGATTGTTAAGGTGTTTCAACACTATATTTTGGTTAATGGGTCTTTAAACAAGTATACTATCAAGAAACACATTTTTTGAAGATTTCAAAAATCCATAGGAGGATATAGCCCACAACCTCAAAAATTTTGTGAGTTTTAACGTTATTCTTAGGAGACGACGAAAGAATTTCAAAACGCTTGTTAAACAGTTTCAACACTATAGTTTGGTTAAAGAGTCTTTAAATAAGTACTTTAGCAAGAAATACATATTTTAAATTTTCAAAAAATTCATCGGGTTAGGTTAGCCTACGACCACAAAAAATTAGGTGAATTTTTAAGTTATCCTTAGGAGACGGCGAAATGTTTTCAAAAGGATTGTTAAACAGTTTCAACACTATAATTTTTTATTATGTATTTAAATAAGTATACGAACAAGGAATACATGTTCTGAAATTTTCAAAAATCTATAGAGGTGCCCATGACCGCGAAAAATTTGGTGGATTTTGACGTTATCCTCAGGAGACGGTGAAATATTTCAACACGATTGTTAAATATTTTCAACACTATAATTTGGTTATTGGATCTTTAAATAGGTATAATAGGAAGGAATAATAGTTTAGCAATTTTCAAAAATTGACCAAACATGCTTAGGCCAAGACCTCGAAATATTTGGTGGATTTCACGTTATTGTCAAGAGAGGAAGAGACATTTTTAAAACGATTGTTAATAATTTTCAACACTATAATTTGGTTAATGAGTTTTTAAATAGGTATACTATCAAGAATAACTTTTTTCTGAAAATTTCAAAAATTCGTAGGTGTTAACCCACAATTTCAAAATATTTGGTGGATTTTGACATTGACGAAAACATTTTCAAAATGATTGTTAAGCATTGTTAATGCTGTAATTTGGTTAAAGCGTCTTTAAATAGGTATACTAGCAAGGAATAATTTTTTTGAAATTTTCAAAAATTCGTAGGGGTTAGCCCACGATTTCAATAAATATGGTGGATTTTGACGTTATTCTCAAAAGAGAACGAATTTTTTTTCAAAAGTAAAGCATTTCAAAACTATAATTTGGTTAAGGGTATTTAAATAGGTATACTATCCCATGATTTCAAAAAATTTGGTGGATTTTGACGTTATCCTCAGAAGACGAGGAAACATTTTCAAAATGATTGTTAAGCAGTTTTAACGCTATAATTTGGTTAATAAGTCTTTAAATAAGTATACTAGAAATTAAATCCATGTTTTGAAATTTTCAAAAATTCATAGTGGCCCACGACCTCGAAAAATATGGTAGATTTTGACATTTTTCTCAGGAGAGGACGAAACATTTTCAAAACGATTGTTAAGCATTTTCAACACTATAATTTGCTTAAAAGATCTTTAAATAGGTATTTGTTGAATTTTGACGTAATCCTCAAGAGACGACGAAACATTTTTAAAATGATTGTTAAGCAGTTTAAAAATAAAACTTTGTTAATGGGTCTTTAAATAAGTATACTTGAAAGGAATACATGTTTTGAATTTTCCGAAATTCATAGTGGTTAGCCCACGACCTCGAAAAATTTGGTGGATTTTAACGTTATTCTGAGGAGAGGAAAAAACATTTTCAAAACGATTGTTAAACATTTTCAACACTAAAATTTGGTTACTGGTTATTTAAATAGATATACTAGCAAGAAATAATTTTTTTGAAAATTTCAAAAATTCATAGGGGTTAGCCCACGATTTCAAAAAAAATAGTGCATTTTTACGCTATCCTCAAGAAGCGACGAAATATTTTTAAAATGATTGTTAGGCATATTTAACACTATAATTTAGCTAATGGGTCTTTAAATAGGTATAATAGCAAGGAATAATTTTTTTAAAAAATTTCAAAAAATCGTAGGGGTTAGCCCACGATTTAAAAAAAATTGTGGATTTTGACGTTATTCTTAGGAGATGACGAAACATTTTTAAAATGACTGTTAAGCAGTTTTAATACTATAACTTGGTTATAGGTCTTATATAAGTATACTTGCAAGGAATACATGTTTTGAAATTTTCAAAAAATCATAGTGGTTAATCCACGACCTTGAAATTTAAATAGGTATACTATCAAGGAATAAATTTTTTGAAAATTTCAAAAATTCATAGGGGTTAGCCCAGGATTTCAAAAATTTGGTGGATTTTGATGTTATCCTGAGGAGACGACGAAACATTTCAAAATAATTATTAAGCAGTTTCAACACTATAATTTGGTTAATGGGTCTTTAAATAGTTATAATAGAAAGGAAAACATGTTTTGAAATTTTCAAAAATCATAGTAGACCTTGGAAATTTTGGTGGATTTCACATTATTCTCAAGAAAGAACGAGACATTTTCATAACGATTGTTCATAATTTTCGACACTATAATTTGGTTAATGGATCTTTAAAAGGTATACGAGCAAAGAATAATTTTTTTGAAAAATTTCAAAAGTTCATAGGGGTTAGTCGACGATTTCAAAATAAAGAATTGGTGGATTTTGTCGTTATCCCCAAGAGACGACGAAAAAGTTTTAAAATGATTGTTAAGCAGTTTTAACAATATAACTTTGTTAATGGATCTTTAAATAAGTATACTTCAAAGGAACACATGTTTTTAATTTTTCAAAATTCATAGTGGTTAGCCCACAACCTCGAAAACTTGGTGGATTTTGACGTTATTCTAAGGAGAGGAAAAAACATTTTCAAAAAGATTGTTAAGCATTTTCAGCACTAAAATTTGGTTAATGGTTATTTAAATAGATATACTAGCATGGAATAATTTTTTTGAAAAGTTCAAAAACTCATAGGGGTTAGCCCATGATTTCAAAAAATGGTGCATTTTTATGTTATCATCAAGAAGCGACGAAATATTTTTAAAATAATTGTTAAACAGTATTAACACTATAACTTAGCTAATGGGTCTTTAAATAGGTATACTAGCAAGGAATAATTTTTTTTTTTAAATGTCAAAAAAATCGTAGGGGTTAGCCCACGATTTTAAACAAATGGTGGATTTTGGTGTTATTCTTAGGAGATGACGAAATTTTTTTAAAATGATTGTTTAACATTTTAATACTATAATTTGGTTAAAGGGTCTTTAAATAGGTATACTAGCAAATAATATTTTTTGAAAATTTCAAAAATTCGTAAGGGTTAGCGCACGATTTCATAGAGTTTGGTTGATTTTGACGTTATTCTTAGGAGATGACGAAACATTTTTAAAATGATTGTTAAGAAGTTTTAACACTATAACTTAGCTAATGGGTCTTTAAATAGGTATACTAGCATGGAATATTTTTTTCAAAATTTCAAAATTTCGTAGGGATTAGCCCTCGATTACAAAAAAATTGGTGGATTTTGGCGTTATTCTTAGGAGATGACAAAACATTTTTAACTGTTAAGCAGTTTTAACACTATAACTTGGTTAATAGATCTTTAAATACGTATACTTGCAAGGAATACATGTTTTGAAATTTTCAAAAAATAATAGTGGTTATAGCCTACGGTCTCGAAAAATTTGGTGGATTTTGACGTTTTCTCAGGAAAGGACGAAACATTTTCAAGACGATTGTTAAGAATTTTCGACACTATAATCTAGTTAAAGGTTCTTTAAATAGGTATACTATCAAGGAATATTTTTTTTTGAAAATTTTAAAAATTCATAGGTGTTAGCCTACGATTTCAAAAAATTTGGTGGATTTTGATGTTATCCCGAGGAGACGATGAAACATTTCAAAATAATTATTAAGGAGTTTCAACACTATAATTTGGTTAATGGGTCTT